AAAACTTAGTAACAAATTTGTATAACATTTTATACTTTGTAATTATATTTTTTTAACATTTTATACTTTGTTATTATATTTTTATAACATTTTATACTTTGTTAATATTTTTAGATAACTGTTACTTCTTTGTTATTACTTTTGTGTAACTGTTATCAATATGTTTCTACTTTTGGATAACTGGTATCTCTTTGTTAATACTTTTGGATAATTGATAATACTTTATTAATACTTTTGGATACCTTGCTAAAAAAATTTTCTAACTGTTAATACTTTGTTAAATATGTTTGTATAACATTTGATACTTTGTTAATAAATTCAACTAGGAAATTTACGTCTCCTTCATTAACAACGGTCTCTTTTTGCCAGAGCTAGCATTGAACCTCGGACCTCTTGGATACAATATTTAAAGATGCCGAATCTAGATATATAAATACAAAAACTAAAAAACAAAAGAGAGTGTATTAACGTTCAATTAAGTTTTTTTAAGTTGCTAAAAAAACGGTTCCACCTCACTACGAAAAACATTTGACGTTTCCTCAAAAACACCGAAACCTCTTAAACTTTACTCTCTTATATCTTTTTGCAGAAAGTTGCAAGAAATGTATGAAAATGATATTGATGATCATCTTACAAATAAAATACTACATTTAAAATCAATTAATGATGCTAATATATATATAAATATATAAATATATATATATATATATATATATATATATATATATATATATATATATATATATATATATATATATATATATATAAATATATATATATATATATATACATGTATATATATATATATATATATATATATATATATATATATATATATATATATATATATATATATATATATATATTTATACATGTATATATATATAAACCAACTTGGTTTGTTTATATATATATATATATATATATATATATATATATATATATATATATATATATATATATATATATATATGTATATATATATATATATATATATATATATATATATTTATATATATATATATATATATATATATATATATATATATATAAACCAACTCCCAGCCGCCACTGGTTGTAAATCAAATTGTCAGGAGGAAAATGAACATAGCGGAATACTGACTAGTATTTTGAATCGAAAAAAAAAACTTAAAGATGTAATTGCGTTGTTTGCCAGTGACTAGTAAATACGGTTATTCTGGATCCTAATAATGCCAACCTAGCTGATCCAAGAACTCCAATGGAAAGATAGCGAACACATCAAAAAACACTGTATGCAAATTTTGAAAATTTTAAATTTTTTCCGATTTAGTTTTGTTTGAATGTTTTAATTGAATAAAATTTTGACTTTATAGTGCGCCAACAAAAACACCTATAAAAAAATTTTTTTATTAGCTGATTATGAGGCTTTAGTTTAAGCTTTGTTAATTTTTTTCTACGTATACTTCAAAACGTTACCGATTACTAAGATTTATGTTTACTCTTTTCAAAATAAATGTTACACGAGTGTTCTACTTAGTAATACTAGCAATTTTTACTATAATTGTTTTAGTGGTACTTGTGCCATTTTCACTTTTTTAGACAAAAATATTTATTTGTTATTTAAAGCATAGTTTGAATTGACTAATGCAAAGGGAAAATATTTTAACATTTGCTAAAGAATAAACTACTGTTAAATACAGACTAACCAGTTGGTAAAACAAACAAAAAAAATACGTTTTTATTGACTCTTGAAACCGCTTTAATTAACTTACTTTGAAAATTAATTGAAAAAATAACTATATAAAACCTATTTTTTACATTGTAACATCATCAAATAGCAGCTGATTACATTTAGAACATTGTTCTCATCTGGTTCACTCACTTTGAAGACGAGAAACGTTTCTAAGATAATTCTTCAATAGTTTGTTGTAAAAAGATAAGAGTTCGAACAAATTGAAAAAGTTCCTTTTCTTGTTCATTATTATTCGTGCTTAAATATCAAAGTGACATGTTTTTTTTTTTAATTCTTTAATATTCGACTTTTTAAAAATAACCACAAATATTTACAAAGGTGCTTTTAAAAAAAAGTCTTCAAAAAACAAGTTATTCAATTTCCTATAAAAGACTTTGCAGGGCCGGATTAATGTTCTGTGCTGCCCTAAGTATATAGGCTAAAAAAAATTTCATTGGAGAGGGCTTTTAACAATATTAACGCTTGAGGTGTTCCTGGTTGAGGGATATAAAATAAAAACTAGTTCTTATTATAATGACTATTTCTTATTCACATCCTTATTAAGATTTAATTTGGTTTAATTGGTTAATTTTGCAATCCTTTCTAACATGTCTGTTTTGCTGACATTTCTGAAAATTATATTTTGACAAGACTACTTGATATTTAATTTTATATTTTTACATTTTCTATTAATTTTTCTATTTTGTAAATAAAGATGGCTAATTCAGGAAATTTCAGGGGATTAATCAAATTGCCTGATAATAAAGCTAGTTAGTGATCCAAGTTGGAAACTGGAAGATTCTATTCATAAAAATGAGTTTCAATAAGACAATCATCAGAAGGACTTGATAAAGACTTGTCTACAATAGAAGTTTATATGACAGAGCTTGAAAAAACTTCATAAGCAGTTTTCTAGTTTAAACCTTAAAATAAACTTTTAGAAGCAAAATCATCTTCTTGAAAATATTCTTTAGAATTTGTTCCAGAAGATATTTGGGTAGAAGTAGGAATAGAACAATTAACAGAAAGTAGCAAATCATCAACATTGTTAAATTGTGCAAGATTGACTTATTTTAACTATCTGTATTTTCAACAAGGCTGGAAGCAACCACCTTTAGAGTTGGTAGCTACTGGAATATCCATGATGAAGATTATAAAGAAAAATAATGATTAACAGACAACTAAAAAGATTGCAAATTATATGAATCAGGAAAACAAGATGAATAGAGAGTATTATAAAAAACTGATGTTCAAGGAAAAAAACTAGACAAGTAAGGTTTTTTAGAGCACCTAGGAGCAATAAAATACCAATCAGAGTATACAAATACTAACTTCGCAATGATTTGTATATAAGGTTTTTATTAGAGGTCAGTACAAAAAGATAATCAGATATAGAAGTTAAGTATTGACACTACTGTGAATTTGCAGCGTTTTGTGCCACAAGGTCTGTATGTTTTGTGATTTTGATGTTATTGTTGTGATGTTTTGTGTTGATAGATAACTTGGCTTACCTTCTTGCTGGTGTCTATCGTTAAAAATGATTATTAGATTGTTTCAATACTGAAACTTGCTACTTCTAATCATTCGCTAAAAGGCAAGAGATAAGTTGTACAATTGCAATATTTTTAATTTTAATGTTGCTTTTTTATCTTAGGTGTTGTCAATAATTCACATAAATATTCTCAAAGAGTAAGTTTCTTATTTATTTAGTTTTACTTGTTAATTTATAATTTTTTTTTTAATTTTTATTTTTTAAAACGAATTAACAAATGTTTTTTAAAAATTATTGTGTATCTGTGTTTTTAATAATAATTTTATTATGTTTTTAAGTAGAGTTTCTGATGTTACACCTGCTATTGTTGATGGAAGTACTAAAAATTTCAGAAAGTTCTATTGCTGTAAGTTATTTTCATTTAAATTTAAATGATAACTTTGTTTATGAATCTTCTGTCTGTTATATTGGTAATTCTGAATGTTTCAGATTGATTTCAATGCCCTCACGCATTAATTTACTTATCCGTCTGGACTCCATGATTCCTCTAAGTATATTTGCATAGTGTAACTAATTTTTTTCCTCTTACTACAATTAGATAAGTAGAAACCCTTCAGTTTGTAAAATAAATGATTCTGGATAATGCTGACAGATTTAGTAAAAACTGGATCGCTATTTAAAGTTTCAAGTCAAATGTAATAACGGTTCACAAATATCAAAAAATTTTAAAAAATATCAAACTCTTTAAAGATGATATGTTTAATTTGTTTGTACAGCCCATTTTCAGCAATTTACTGACCAATCTGTAATTTATGCGATTATTTCACTAGCTTGTCTGTAAATTATGCAATAGTTTTGAAATGATGTATTTTTTGGATTCCGTGATTCCTTTAAGCATATTTGCATGGTATAATATCAATTGACTCCAAATTTTATTCACCAAAAATAAGAAAAAAATATAAAAACCTTCAGGCTGTAAAATAGATGATTCTGGACAATCGCGACAGATATTTTTAATAAAAATTTTGGTTTTCTATTTTCTTATAGTTGTTTGTGAAACTGTGAAAAATTTCAAGTCAAATATAATCATGATTCAAAAGTTATTAAAAAGTCAGTATGACCCCAAAAATATATAAATTAGTAAAAACTCTCAGTCTGTAAAATAGGTGATCTAGACAATCCCGACAGATTAAAAATAAAATAAAATTGAGTTTTATTTTCTTATAGTTGGTGGGTCACTATGGGAAATTTCAAGTCAAATGTATTAACGGTTCAAAAGTTATTCAAAAGTCAGTATGACTCAAAAAATATATAAACTAGTAAAAACTCTGTAAAATAGACGATCATGGTCATTCCTGACGGATTTAAAAAAAAAAAAAATTGGAATTTTATTTTCTTATAGTTGGTGGGTTACTGTGAAAAACTTCAAGTTAAATGTATAAACGGTTCAAAAGTTATTCATAAATCAATAATACTCTTATTTTCAGTGCAATAACATACCAAATTTTGCATACTTAAGCTCTATACCTTTTGTCAAAAAATCAACAATTTTACCACTAAAAAAAATTTTAATAACTTTTGATCTGCTTAACTTCAAAGGCCGAATGAACCCTCATTATTTAAGTCAAGCCAAGCTCTATACAATGACATCAATTATATTTGAATATTTGAATTATAAAAAATAATCGTCTAAAATGGCTACCAAAATCTGCGAGTCATTTTTCGGTTTATTATTTATCACTTATGTAATTAATAAAAATTTTAATATATAAATAATACTTTACAAACACCAACCTATTACAGTAACAGTTGTGTAGCCTATGCAAGCAACCAACTTTTCTTCATACGAAAAGACATCACGATATTTATTGACCCAACTTGTATTCGTGAAATTCGATAATTCAAAAGATTCAAACGATACGTTTTGCATTATAAATTAGCAGTTTATAAGTATTTCATTTTAAATACAGAAAACTAAAATTAAAAAAAAAAATTTAAATTTTGAAAATATAATTACGAACCCAAGCAAACAAAAAAATATATATGCTTTTCCATTCAGTTAAAATAGCCGTGAATTACTGAAAATCAAGACTTCAAGCTTTATATAAAACAATTAAAAAGCTAACAATGAGTTATTTTATATTATATATAATCTTATTATTTATATTATTATTAAAATATTATTTTATATATATTCATTACAAAATCTTTTATAAAAACAAAAACTTATCGATATATATTATTAAATATCGTCACCTTAATCTAAATTCAATTTAGTTTTTTACTTTTTACTTTATCTTATATATGCAATATCTTTTTGGGCGCTTAAAATAATTAAAATAAATGTATGATTTTTTCACTAAGCCTTTACTTTTACCTGTTACATAACAATTATAATGTTTTTTTAATATTTATAAAAATAAAAAAAACAATTTATTTTGTTTTTATAAAGTGTCTAAATATGTCATTTTTTATTTTTTATTTTAATAAATAACTTACCATATAAACGTGGAACTTTACTGTTTATGGTACCGTTACTCTGTTTTTAAAAGTTAAGTTACAAGAGCTTTTTTTTACATAATAAATTTTTATTTGTTAAATATGTTAATGAAACAATTAAGTTAGATTAAAACAATTTGCCTTCTGCCTGCTCTGGTCAGCATTTTTTGAAAACTTACACAGGTTTTGAATAGGCAGAGATATACGCAGTCTGATTAGCTGACTTTGAATGTAATGGCATGTGCACGTTTGTTAAAACCAAAACTAATGTCAATTAATTAAATTTTTATCAAATTTTGTACATTATTGTACTTATATTTTTAAAAAACTTCGCTACTCAAAACATCCGATTGCCCTCAGTATTGTTGAGTAATAAAAGATTACAAAATATTTTAGCATAATAAACTATAAAAAAAAGTCTATGATCTGATGTTTATAGACTTGTTTGAATAAAAGAAATTGATTACTAAATAGAATAACTATCAAAGTACCACCTTTATGGAGAACAAAGGGTAATGAGGTAGAAGCAAAAAAAATGCAAACATAAAAATTCATGTTGTTGTTTATTTCAATTTCAAAAAATATTACATGCAAAACACATTTTTGTTGATATATAGCAGTTACCTAAACACAAAATATTGGGTAATGTATTCTATAATTGGTGAAAAATGTTTACCTATTAAAATTAACTGATGGTAATTAATATTAAATAAAATAATGTTCTTTGATAAACTTTATGTTTATTATGCTATCTATTTATTTTACAATATGTAGTCCTAAGGAAATAAAAATTTGTCTGCTCTAGAAAAATGAAAAAAAAATTTGAAAGAAAATCTATTTCCAAATTTTATGAATAGTTTTATTATGTAATTTTTAGTATAAGCAAAAAAATGAAGTATTAATTTTTTGTTTTAATTTCTCTGGATTGTGATTTATTGAATTTCTGTAAATACCTCGTCTATAAAAATATAAAATTTAGATGTGCCTTGTTTTTATTCGAAGTAATATTGATAAATCTTTTCTGATAATTTGATTCTTCATATATTAAATCTTTTTTGATAAATTTTTTTTATTACAATAAACGCCATAATAAAACTTCATTTGTTTAATTGACTTCATTACTTTTTATTAACTTGTAATATCAATGCTTATATGTAACTGTAGAAGAGAACTTTACAGAAGAAAAACAAGTAAATACGACTTCTTTTGTTAAATTTTTGTTAAATGACTGTTACAATCTAATTCGTCGGCCAAGAACCAAGAGGCCGTGTGTCCACTTTTTGTGTTTTAAAATTTAATTTGTAAAGAATTACTGCCAAAATGTCCGACTATCCGTTTTTTTAATATTTTAAAAAGTTGTATCATTCTTGCAAATAGCTTCAATGGACACATACTCCATTAATTGTTGAATATTTATTGATAATAAAAAGAAAAAATACAAAATGTGTACAGACGGTCTTTTGGTTCTCGGCTGAGAATTGTCAACCTATATATATTTATTTTCATAAATTGTTTAAAGTTTTAACAATGATGTTTTATTAGAGTTAAGTCATAAAAATATTGACAAAATCTAAATCAGTCTTCTCAAAATTTAGGTTAAAAACTTGCCTCTTTTTCAAAATCAGCGAATCAGATTCCGCCTATTCTGAGCATGTATAAGGTTTTAAAGTGTGCTTAAAGTGATCATTACTGAAAAATATTGTAAAAGGTTTTTTATAAAATGTAAATTAGAAAAAAAAAAAAATGTTGAAAAAAATTTTTCAGACACCAAAATCTTTTATCTATAGTTAAATTGATTTTTCTTAGGTTTTTATTCCTTTTTAACTGTTTTATAAAGAAAAAAATAGATTGAAAACTTCATATATAATTATATTGTTGTTTAAAAAATCGTGCACAGTATCCCCTGTTTTGTTAGTAAAAATACTTTTTTAATTAGAAGGTAACCCCCTCCCCCACCTCTCTTCCCTCATCGAAATAAAAACATTAAAAAAACGAATTAGCACTGAAAACATTTTTATTTACGTTGTTTTAAATAAATGCAATATATTTTTTAATTTAAGAAAGCATAAAAAAAGGAAGAAAACGATAAGAGTTTATTTACAAACGATAAGAACTTATCTACAAATTATCTATGTTAAGTAAAGGTATGTGAAGTTTTATGGTTTTTCCAATAAAAGACAATAATTTTATAATAATGTATTTTTATAAATAAAAATTTCTAGATTTTTAAAATTTTAGGAGGACTTAATGTTCCTAATATTTTATTTCACATATAAAAATTTTCATTTTTTTTAAAAAGCGGTTCCTAATTATTATATATATTGATTTTCTAGATTTTACCTACTTACTGTTGCTACCTTCTTTACCTAGATACTGTTGCTACCTTCTTAACCTAGATACTGTTGCTACCTTCTTGTCATACACTTTATGATTTTAGGAAAGCATTAAATTTTACATTATACAATTATAATGCATCTAACGGAAAATGAGTTATCATTAAGGAGCTGTCACTTTTTTATCAAAGTTAGCATGCGTTTTTTAATTTTCTTTCTACAAGGTATGATTGATTTTAAGGATCAAATAAGATCAGGCTACGATTCAGCATTAGTTTGATTTGCGAGACACTTATTTGAATCTAGTGTATATCAAGTAACTCTAAATTTACTTTTTTATTTGTGATTTTTTGTTAAAACGATATATTATTATGTGTAATATAAAAATAAAATACCAAAAAGAAAAATTTTATACTACAGATATGAATAACTTTTTTCAGGTGGTTAATCAATTAATCGTTTCAGATAACTTTGGTTTTGTCATAATTTAGGTGCTTTTTAATTTGAGAGCATTTAAAAGCGAGGAGGTAATGGCCGTTGCTTCGATTATATTATTTGAAATTATATCAAGTAATGACTATTCATCAAAAAAGTGAAATCCGCAACTTTTAAAACATTCTTAAAGACTTTTTTTAATATTGGGTTTTAGGAAACTAAGAATTTGTTAAAGTAGCGCAAAAGGTACTGCTTTAATAAAACTTTATGATACAAGCCATCAGATGCTTCTTTCCACTCTAATAACACTTTTATCCGAGCCATTTTCATTGGTATAAAAAAGCAACACCTAAGGATTGTGCAAGATGTGTAGTTACATACAAATTGAATGTTTTTTTATCAGCACTTTTGAAAAATAAAGAAAATAAGGTTAGTAGATCATTAGCGATAAGAACTTTGTTATTTTTTAAGTTTTAGAAACATAAGATATTTAAAATAATTACTAAAACCAAGCTAATCTTATTAAGAACATTGGTTGCGACAGTTTATTAAACATTTCTTTGTTCAAGAATTCGATACATGGCTGAGTTAATGTACAAAAAAAAGGTGGTTAAATTTCACCAGCTGCACTGCTACACACCGCTTATAAAGTATATCAATCTTATATCAAAAAGGAAAATTTATAAGGTATTTCTGGATACATGATACCACAACATCTTATCACTTTTGTATTCCAGGATATTAAGTTATGTTGGCTTTGTCTAGGTTCTACGTTTTTTTTTGTTCGTACAAAAATATTAAAAAAGCAATACTCGATAACTCAATCAAAAGTGTCACATGAGCCAATAAATGTCAGCGTCATTTTAAAATTTATTGTAACGATTGAACTTAATAACCCTGATAACTACAAAAAAAAAATCTGTCTAAAAAATGATCATTATTATCGGAGGTGAGAAACAACAAAATTTTAGAAGTAAGAGTAAACTAGCCGCCTAGTCTGTAGAAATAAACTAGCTCCGTAGCTTGTAGAATAACTAACTTTGACTATACGTTCATTGTATTTAAACTAAAGTACCGATAAATAAATTATAACAGCAAAAAAAGCCAACTATTTTTTTGGTAAATAAATTGAAACATACAAATTCATTTTTAAAAAATTGATATTATCTAAAAGTTAATTATTTTAATAAAATGTTGTAAAATTATTAAATATATTTAAAATAACTTTATTAATTATAAAAATATAAAAATTTAATGATTAAGAATATCAAATAAAAAATATAAGTTTAAAATATTAATAGTAAAAATTAACTCAGCTTATCATCAATATCATAATAAAAGTACATTACGTGATTAATCCCCTTTAAAGTTTTTAACTAACCTCTGAACAAAAAAATACCAATGATGAACGCTTAATGTAAACAAAATTACATTTAGCCTAGGTTTGATATAAAAATACACAAACTCCAATATTTAAAAAGCTAAAATTAATTCATCCTTACAGCAATGCTTTTTATTAATTCCGGTGTATTTTTTTTCTTTAAAACTGGGATAAATCGCTCATCGAAAAAATAAACTTTTCTTTTCTTATATCAATAAAACATTTTGAGCAAACTTAAATATTTGTTGAGTTGGTGATTTTATCAGAAAATAATCAGAGATTATATATTAAATGTTGTGTAATAAATAACTATAGTTTTTTAATCAAAAAACTGCGCAACCTTTTTGCATTATGCTTAATACGTTTGTTTATGTTTATTGTAGTCATTTGACTTTTTCAACATATAGTTTTCGAAATTCAACATCATTTCAAAAACTTTAATATTAAGTTCTATTACTTTTTGTTTTAGTGACTTTAAGTCAATTTGTCACAGCTTTTATAACTCTTATGTTTCAAAAAGAACAGCTAGTAATTCTTAATAAGTTAACTCCAAACTAATCAAGGTTTCTTTTAAACATACCTTCGTTGATCTAACTCTATCTAAAACTAAACCACAGGGCAGCTGGTATAGTAAACCATTATTGCATGTAGTTGTACGCAAGAAATACTTATTTCCACAAAAAAAAACCTTGCCGCACAAAAATATAGTATAACCACAAAAAGCACTTGGTGTGGAACAAACATGAAACAAACAGGAACTCAATCTAAAACAAAATCACAAGACCTACAAAATGGGCATAAATATTATAAAAGTTTATTATGATCATAAAATTTTCATTTCAATTTTCACAAATCTCTAAGCATAGCATAATTGATTAATTGATAAACAAAAGTGATTGGCAATGATTGGAATACAGTGTAAAAATATGGTTTCTTATCATGATTTTTTTTTCAAATTTTGTACTTTTTGTTAAGCTTTATTAGATGTTATTTTTATTATCTTATTAAACTTTATCTTTAGATTGATAAATTTTTTCTTTGACACCGTTATGTTTCACAAGCACTTTACCAATTTAAATAATAAATCATAAATATAATAAAAGCTAGGAAATATGATAAACTAAATTTCACGTTGTAAATATTGGAAATTTGATGTACATCAATAATGAAGCACTATCGTTTTAACCTTAATAACAAATTATGGTATCCACGTCAAGAACAGAGCAATTACAAATTAGTAGATAAATCACTTAGCAAAATTTTTTTTTTTTTTTTATATATATATATATATATACATATATATTCATAACCTTATATACACAGTATCTCACAAATAGAATTTCAGTGGGTCAAAGCTTTGCTAATAAAATTTCTCTCTCTCTCTCCTCATATGATCAATTAACTCAAAAGAGTCCAACACCGCCCTACTAAATCAGTTCAACTTATCATAACGTTATCCAAAAAACCCAGATTAATACAGCTTTATCTCACATGCTGCTATAAATAATAAGTAAAGTTCGATAAAAAATCTGGACAAAGTTCTATTAACAATAAAAAAAAAATAGAAAGGAATAATTTAACATACTTGCTATCACTCTTAATTAGTTACATGCTTAATTCTTTATATGTATTATTAACATTTTTTTTAAAAAAATTTATAATTTTTAAAAATATTTGAAAAAAAAAAATTTTTTTTATATTTTTTTAAAAAAAATTAAAAAAAAATATTAAAAAAAAATTTTTTTTTTTAAATTTTGAATAATATTAATAATTATTATTACTATTGAAAAAAGCTTATGACGATCATTTTATTGAAAAACAAGAGTGTGCAACTTTGAGTTTGCATTCAGATGAGAATAAAAGCTATATTGTAAATCATTTTAAAATGAAAAGCTTACAAAAATATTTTATCTAAAATATGCTTAGCATATTTTAAATATATGATGTATTTTAGATATTTTTTTATTTGAGTTTTTTTTTTTTTATTTGAGTTTTTATGCCATATTTTTCTATACAATGTTCTTATATCCGAAGATATTGTTGGCTTAGCATAGGAACAGCCACAAATAGACATTAAGACTAATCCAAAGTAGCATCCCTTATTGACCAACATTTTTGCGTACCGAAGTAAGAACATTGCAGTAATAATTTAGTATATATATATATATATATATATATATATATATATATATATATATATATATATATATATATATATATATTATATATATATATATATATATATATATATATATATATATATATATATATATATATATATATATATATATATATATATATATATATATACAGATGTATAAACAGATGCAGATGCATTTGTCACCTCTTTTACCGCTCTCTCACAAGACTGTGTGAAAAGCGGAAAGTAAGGTACTTCAAAAGGTGTCTCTAAGAAATGGTCAAGGTTTTTTCTAGGTATTTAAGAAGAAACTTAAAAATACTTAGAAAACTATCATCAATTTTATAGTGGCATTGTATAATAAATAAAAATTCAAAAAAAAATAAATAGAAACAATTTTTTTTTCACTTACCGGGGCACTATGAGTCGTTCTAATAAAAAATGTGGAAATAGGCTTATAAATAAGAAAGCACTCAACATATTGAGCTGATTATTTCACAAAACATAGAATTTTTTTTCATATTTCTATGCTTAAAAGAAAAATATCTGGTTTTTTATAAAAAAAGCATTTTACTGTATTTTTTTCGGTTCATCCAGACTAATTTTTGACTAATTCGGAAAAAAACATAGAGTAAAATGGGGTCAGGTGGAATAATTAAAGATTTTAGTTATTAATTTTTAACGGAAAAAAGATTTTTTCCTTTTATTTAAAAATTGAAGAGAGTATTGAGCTGTATTTAAATATATAAAATTTTAATAATTTTTTTGTAAAATTTTTTATGAAACTTTATTTGATTAAGAAAATTATTGTTCCATACTACACTGACGTTCGGGAGAATGAAGTACGCAAATATAAGTGTAATTAAAACAAAACTTTATAAAAAAAAAAAGCAATCAATAACAACAATTAAAAAAACAACCAATAATAACAATTAAAAAAATCAATAAAATAAAGTAAACTTTTTTTATTCTTGTGACGATGTTGAGCCGTTTAGAGGAACTAGAGGTTGAGTTGAGTTTTCACTTGTGGGGCACTTTTTGTAGCAATAAAAAGCGCCTTTTACGTATTGCTTTGGTATGCCTGTTTAACATAGCTAAACCTTGCAATTAAAATTTTCACACAGATACCATTCCATAATTTGACTTGCTGAAGTTTCACCTAAAATTTTTTGGCACTTTTTACATTTGAATTGGTTTGCAGCTATTATTTTCGTTTATGTTGCTTGGTTTATTTGCTATTCTCCATTAGAGCTAAGCTTTGGTTGTTTTTTAGTTTGTTTTGCTGCTTTTTTGCTCTCAGCATCTTTCAAACTCTCAAGTATTTTTGGTTTGTTGAGAAACTCCCCTTTGAAGCTTGACACATCTACATTTTTTCTTTTTTTTTGTGTCAACGAGTTGGATACGAAACATTTGTTACAAAGCTGCTGTAAGTGATTGGGCTGATTGCTGTTATTTTGCAACCTCTTTTTAAATTACCTTTTGAATAGCCGGAATTACTACAATATTGAAGGTTGTTTGCAGACAATGTGACTTTTGAGATGACTTTTGAGCTGATGCTATGTGGCTATGTAACATATGCTGATGCTAGATGTTGTTGGTGTAGTTTCAGGTAGTGTAGTTCCTAGTGCTAGATTTGGTGATGGCACTGTTATAGATTCTGGTTGTTGAGGTGATGAAGGCTCAGGTTCAGATCTCAGTGTTTCAAATGTATTAGAAATTTGCCAATTTGACTAATCGACTTTATCAATGTCAAGTGGAAACAAGCCAGTATTCTGAAACCCTGTAACTATCTTGGCACGAGTAAAAACCTCACCGGAGCTTAAAAGTTTTTTTGCAGATGACTGAAACATTCTTTTGATAAGTTGCTAAACTTTGTCTTTGCATAAAACTAATAAAGTATTTTGTGCCAAACCCTTTTGACATGGCAATAAACACCAACATCTAGTGGCTGTAGAATGTGCAACGAATGAGCTGATAAGCAAATTAACAAGAGAGTAACTAGCGAATTTAATTCATTTATTAGAACCATTTTATAAAAGCAGTAAGTAAAAGTCATTTATAATCAGTTAGAAAAATTCGTTCATTAAAATTTATAGAAGAAATTTATAGTTGGCGATTTATTAGTCACTTGAGACCTAATAAAAAAACTGCTTTTAAGAAATAAGCTTTGTATTTATTTATTTATTAGCGTATTTCATTCAACTCCGCAACACTCAGTTTCCATTTTTAACTCATAACTTTTTTTCCTACATAGAAAATTTAATTTTGAAAAAAGATTCTTGATAAGCGTAAAAAGTTTTATCAGTAAAGATTTTAAGTTCAATCAAACCGAATTTAATTTCCGAGAGTTTTAAGTTTCTTTTTCAAACAAATAAAAAAAATCTTATTACGCATTCGAAAACTTATAAATTTGTAACAAATTTTTTTTAATTAAAAATAAAAATTTATACAATCTTACTCAGAAAAATATTCTCTACAATATAATCAAAAAATATTTACAAAAACATTATTCAATAGTTAATTAAAAGCAAAAGAATAAACATTGTCATAACTATTTTGTTCTACCCGCTATTTCATTTTACCCTGTTTTACTCTATGTCATAATATTTTTATTTAAAAAACAGTAGGCGCCAATATTTTATATAATTTAATATATAATTTCAAAAATTTTTTAAAAATTGTCAAAACAATATAAACTTATTAAAATTGTAAACAAATCTGCTATCATCTGATTCTTTGTTCTTTAGTTTCTTACAAAGTTTCTCAACATTCTAAAAGATGTTTTTAATAACTTCTGGCTATGATGATAGCCGTAATTTTAAAAAGTCAACGCAGAACAGCTTATTAGTATATCACTTTAGTTCATGGTGTAGATCTTTCTAGATTAGTTAATTACCAGATAAAGTTTATTAAATTATTTCATAAATGTTTTTAAAAACAAAAAACAACAAAACTTTGAATTGTTATTATAAACTATATTGAGATTTCTTTACCAAAAAAAAATT